ACATTACAGCTAAAAAGTCCCGTTAAATCTTAGTACCTTTGTTGGAATTAGGGGAGACTGGGCTAAGAGGAACCAGTTAATAAGTTGACTCATGCCCTCTACCAAGAAGAAAACACTTGTCATGTGGGCATAGATTCTGCAGGCACCCTCAATTTTGCTGTCTATGTGAATTATGGAAGCATGTGGTAATGTGGTAAGCTTGTTTTTCTTTCCAAAAACCCTTTTTTTTACTGGTCAAAAGGGTATTAGTTTTGCGGATGTAGATTTGACCAATCAGAGGCCTCCTGTCTGCGGTCACCTAAAACTTTAGAGAGGAGCAGCCTTCTCCATTTGCGTAATCCCGTGGAGAGTCCGCCACGTTATGGGCCATCCCAAACTAGGTAGTAGGTAAGGGCAAGTGGACCGTTCAGCCCTTAAATATTCAGTCTGAATCAGTGCAGACTGGATGGAATTTTACAGCAAACCAATGGCGGAGGAAACGCTAACATTCAAATGTTAGTTCTGCTGGTTTGCTGCATCTTTGTCTCTGACAGAAAATCACATTTTGGGAAAAAGAAAAAAGGATTGATTTGGGTCTTTTGACCAGATAGATTTTTTTTTTTTAAACAAAGGGGAATATATTTCCATTCGTGTCGACATTTGCGCGTGGAGAGTCACTGTGTTGCCATAGCAATGACTGTTTTCTTTTTCCCTTGGAGGAAGAGTTCGTCTCTTCTCATTTCACCCCACCTTCAATCAAAGGCGCCTTCCACAGCTGTGAGTTGGACTTCATTGGAAGTGACACTTGATAGTTAAGGGTTAGTGGTTAGGGGGCGGTTTGGGATGGAGCCGTCATCTAAAATCTCTAAAAGTGTATTTTAATGGCACATTTAGTGGTAACTGAATATACTGGTTTATGGGATGTATGTATACAGCGCTTTATCAAGCGTTTGCATTAAATTCAGCCACGCTCACAGTTGCATTGTGGGAAGCTGTATTTCCACCACTGCCGTGGGTCAGACTTACAGTCCTGAGGATGCAACAATCGGCGTCATCGGGCCCTCTGACCTAGCCTGGGTGCCATTCCGAACTTAGTCCCGCCCACAACGTTTGAGGTCGGGAAGTTCGGTCTGGCATTGCTCAA